AATTGGGTGATAATGATGATCATGAGCCCACAGATGGTATAACCGATATACGGGGTGAGATGAAAAAAAAAACTGCAAGCTACTTCAGACCGCTGTCATTTCTAAGCCACTCGTTCGACAGCTGTTAAAATTATTCCGGTGACAGCTCATTATATTGTTTATAAGCGTACAAAGGCATTTTGGTGAGAATTTTCCAGAACAAAAAGTTATTCGTGATGGAATTCAAGCGTTATAGTGTGATTTCTTCATATTTGGCTGGAAACCCCACAAGTGGCTATCGTTAGAGCACTCCAGCATTTAAATGTGAATAAATATTTTGTGTCTCGTACCATCACTCGTTACCGATTACGTGATACTGGTAGTGTAGCCCGACGTCAAGGAAGTGGACGGAAGAAAACAGCAACATCTGTAGAAATGGTTCGAAAAGTAAAGAAGCGACTTGATCGAAGCCCGCGTCGCAGTGGCCGAAAAATGGCTCGTGAGCTGAACATATCGCAATATTCCATTCGGCAAATATTGAAAAATGAGCTCGGGTTACAGCCATTGAAATTCCAAAAAGTGCAAGGACTTACACCGCAACAGAAAGAAAATAGACTCAAAAGAGCTAAGGAGTTGCTTCGCTTGGTCGAAAGTGATGAACTGTCGAATTTGGTTTTCTCCGTTTTTTGTTTTTCTCCATTCGGCAAATATTGAAAAATAAGCACGGTGCACGGGGAGCCAATGAAATGCCAAAAAGTGCAAGAACTTATACCGCAACAGAAAAAAAAACGACTCGAAAGAGCTAAAGAGTTGCTTCGCTTGGCCAAAAGTGGTGAACTGCCCAATTTGGTTTTCTCCGATGAGAAAACATTCCTTGTCCCGCAGTTTGTGACCAAAAACAAAATGATCGTGTTTTTGTCTTGCCAAAGAGGTCAGCTGAAAGTGTGCACCTTCTGTTGGCCACCAGAACTCAAGCGCCCGGCCATGGTAATGGTGTGGGCCGCCATAATAACCGATGGTCGCTCTCCTCTCATATAATCGACTGTGGCATCAGAATAAATGCCGAATATTATGGCCAAAATATTCTGGAGGTGTATTAAAGCCTTGGGCATGCACACATTTTGGCCGCAAACCTTGGACATTTCAACAGGACTCAGCACCCTCAGCAGAACTCAAACGCCGGCCATGGTGGTGGTGTGTCGGCCGCCATAATAGCCGATGGTCGCTCTCCGCTCGTATTAATCGACCTTGGCATCAGAATAAATGCCGAATATTATCACGAAAATATTCTGGAGGGTGTATTAAAGCCTTGGGCACGCAAACATTTTGGCCGCAGACCTTGGACATTCCAATAGGACTCAGCACCATCACCAGAACTCAAGCGCCGGCCATGGTGATGGTTTGTCGCCTGCTATAAATGTCGAATGTTATCGCGAAAATATTCTGGAGGTTGTATTAAAGCCTTGGACACGCAAACATTTTTGGCCGCAGACCTTGGACATTGGACTCAGCACCATCACCAGAACTCAAGCGACGGCCATGGTGATGGTGTGTCGGCCGCCATAACAGCCGAAGGTCGCTCTCCGCGACCGTGGCATCAGAATAAATGCCGAATATAGGAAATATTCTGGAGGGTGTATTAAAGCCTTGGGCACCCAAACATTTTGACCGCAGACCTTAGACATTCCAACAGAACTCAGCACCATCGCACCATCTCAGCACGCGCCACCCAAGAATGGTTACAAAATGAGGTTACTCGCTTCATTTCCAGCGCACAATGGCCACCAAAATCTCCGGATACCAATTCGCTGGGCTATTGTGTCTGCAGTATTTTGGAAAACAAGGTTGACACTAAAAAATACCAAAGTGTGGATCACCTCAAGCAAGCGCTTCACCGGGAATGGGCCAAAATACCGCAGAGCTACATTCGGGCAACGTTCGACGGTTTCATTGGCCGTTTGAAGGTCATAATTGGGGCCAAAGATGACCAATTCGAAAAAATCGAAACTTATTCTTTAATTTGATGCTATTTCCAATATTTTTTGCTTTCATCCAAAAAAAAAAAAATTATTAAAAAACAAGTAAGCAAAGGCTACAGTCGAGCGGGGCCGACCGTTGAATACCCTACAACACTATAATAAACGATACAGTTTATGTAGGCCAGATACTTGAAAGTATTCCGCAAGATATTGTGACAAATAATAAAAGAAAGCCATCAGGTTTCGTTCTCTAATTTTGGAATAATAGCAACTTTAACTAATTTGCTCATTTCCAATTTATTGGTAATTAATTGGTCTTCCTAGATCTGGAACCAATATTTCCCAAAGACCTATAATCTCTCAGAAGTGGCAAAAGATTAAAATTTATTATTGGTTTTTGACTGAAATCTATATGAGATACAGCCATTTGACTATATTCTTCAACGAAATCAGCGTTAACGAAATAGTCAGAAGTGCGACTTTCCTGTATATGTGAATTATCCAAAAAGTCACTGGAATGGACATTTTCGTATTTTGTCTACAAAAGTTGGCAAACTACTTCACACATTGAATATTTTTGGATGGCCATCCAAAACTGCTTGGCTTTTGTAATGTCCGGTAACTCCCATTCAAATGTGCGTGAGGATCGGGCGATAATTACGACCTGCAGACAATTTTGCAGTTTTTTGGTCCATTTCAACCCCTAAATATATGACGATCATCTCCAAAAAGAGTAGGCTTCTATTCTGACCCTCATCTTATCGCCATGCAAAATTTCGTAAGGATCGGGCCATAAATGCGATCTGTATATGATATCCTGATATCCTAACTACTCAGTTTTGTTAGCTGTAGAAATATTACCAAATGTTTAATTCAAAATGAAAATATGCCAAAAATATGACAAAATTGAAAAATTATGAGAAAATTTTACAAAATCCATATTTTCATCTTTAGAGAGATATTTTTATGCGATTTTTTTAGACGTTTTTTCTTTCCTGCCAAGAGGCCATTCTGAATTAATGAGAACTGTCGAAATCAGATCAGCCGTTCTCGACATATAAGAGATTTTTCAAGCATATCTTCTTTGATAAACATATATATCGCACATATTTTGCTATATATCCGTTTTGTTGGATGTTAACATCAATGTAAAGATCAGAAGTAACCTTGTCATGGCTTTGTGATTTCGCCGGGATTTAAAATATTCGCGGTTTAATGGCAAAAGTTCAATTTTTTCAAGAAAAAAGATATAGTCTATTTTACCCGCTAAATAATATCAAATGACCTTCTAAATTGGCAGGCTTCTTCCCCGGCCTAAACTCTAGCTACATGCGAAATTCCGCGTCGATTGGTCTATAATTGCGACCTGTACAGCTACTACAAAATCCGAATTTTTTTCAGTATTTGGTCCATTTCAACCCCTAAACATTTGGCGATCATCTCCAAAAGAAATAGGGTTCTATTCTGACCCTAACCCCACCTTCATTTTAAATTTCGTGAAGATCGGACCATAATTGCGACCTGTAGAGTGATTACAAATTAACATGGACAGACGGACAGACGGACAGACGGACAGACGGACAGACGGACGGACGGACATACATAGCTAGATCGACTCAGCTCGGCGAGCTAGGAAGATCCATATATACTTTCCTATATGGGAAACCAATATTTCGAGGTGTTACATAAATTCTGGCCCAATCAAACTTATAATACCCCCAACACATAGTGTTGTAGGGTATAAAAAATTGAAGAAAAATTTAAAAAAAATTTTAAAAATGACTTTGTTGCAACGTTTTTTCATCTCACCCTGTAGAATCAGGATTTTCCAGCCTTGACGTTTCTTGTTTTTAATTTTTTTTTGTTTTATTTGGTTTTTAGTTTCATTTCTATTTAAAAAGTTTGTAGGTTTGTGAGAGAATTTCCATAATAATTTCACTTTATTTTTTCATTAGGTTTCAATTTGTGATTATTTTTGTTTTCTTTCTTCTTTTTCTTCTTCTTCTTTAAATTTGTCTGTTTTTTTTTTTTGTCTTCTTAAGGCTTTCTTTACCACAACAATTAATTTTGAATAACTAACTTGTTTTGTAATAATTTTTATATAATTTTTGTTTTCATATAAAGTTTTTGATTAAAATCCTTTAAAATAATTTCACTAAAATAAAGTTATTGTTGTCTATATGTGTTTGTTATTTATTTAATTTAATATTCATATTTTTTATTTAATTTAATTTTTTTATTTTTTAAATATTAAAGATGATTTTCTTGGATTCCATAAACATTGAGAAAAATTCAATTTTGTTGGTTGTTCTTCTGGCTGTTGTTGTCTAAATCTTCTAAATCGAAGATACTCTAAATTTTTGTAGTATAAATACTCTATACATATATAATTTGTTGTTCTTATATTTTGTGTGAATTTTATTTTGTACCTATAACATAAAAATTAAAACTAAAATAAACAATAGAGATTGAGTCAATATTTGTGCAAAGTTACCTTTGCATTATAGCACATAAATTTGTTTATAAAGATCTGTTTTTAATTTTTCTAATTTAATTTTTTTTAATTGTTATTTGTTTATTTATGTTGTTATTATTTGTTTTTGTAATCGGTGGATTTAAAAACCTGGACAAATGTCATTAAATGTATAAATTTTTATTCTTTCTTCCTTTTTTTTATTCAATTTTTAGTTTTATGGGCTAAGGCTTAGGAAAAACAAATACACTGGGCATAAAAAGTCTAAGGACAGCAGAGAACTTTAAGGTAAGTTTGCTTTTGTATTCGACCTTGTCCAAAATCTTTAAAATAAATAAAAAAAAATAAAATAACTTCTTTTTTTTTAAATTGATAGTTATAAAAAACATGTATGGGTAGAAAAAATTTTTTTTTGTTAAATTTAAATGTCAAAAGAGAGATGAGATCAGAAAATTATGAAGTATAAAAGAAAATTTAAAAAATAATAAATAAATGTTTTTTTTTTTTTTTTTTTTTTTTTTTGTGGAATACGAAAAATTATTTGAAGAACAATAAATTTTGGGAGAAATTTTAAAAATTAATAAATAAATAAAATTTTATTTGTGGAATACAAAAAATGATTTGAAGAACAATAAATGTTGGACAATGAATTGTAAATATTTTTTTTTAAAAATTCGCGACCTCGGAAATGAAAAACATAAAATACTGGTGGGAACATTATGTGAAACCTATACAAAAACCTATGACTTCTTTCCATAAAGTGAAAAGAATTAAAATATTGAAATGGCTTAGTATTGTGTAGCCATAGACGTTTTACACTCAGTGTATTTAGGATATATATAGGCAGTTAAGTGTGTGTAAATGTGGTGTTATAGTGTCCTTCTTAATTGTGCGGCCTGGCGCACAGTGATTGTAAATCTTAATTAATAAACAAGTTAAAAAGCAGTAAGTTCGACCGGGCCGAACTTTGAATACCCTCCACCATTTGGAACGAATTTGGAAATTTTCAAAAAAAAAAATCCTTAAAAAATTATGTTAAAATTTTAAAAATATAGAATATAGCCGTTATGTTGGGGTCTATACGACGTGGACCTACATAGGCATTGTTAGTCATAAGCCATTACCATATTCAAATTCGAAACTTGTAATAAACCGTGAATAATGTAGCTAAAATCAAAATCATCAAAATATCGTATATAGGGAGGTACCGTTATATCGGAGCTGTGCGAAGACCTGGACCAGCATAGACAATTTTTTGTCACAGGCTGTAGCATCCATTACGAACTTCAAATACGACATCTCAAACAATTTCGGTGGATATTGTACCTAAACTCGTCAAAATATCTAATATAGGGAGGTACTGATGTACGGGGCCTATACGAAGACCTGGACCTGCACAGACAATTTTCTGTCACAGACTGTAGTTGCCATTACGAACTCTAAATACGAAATTTGAAACAATTCCGGTGAATAATGACGCTAAAATCATCAAAATACCGAACATTAGGAGGTATCGTTATATGGGGGCATACGAAGACGTGAACGTGCACAGACAATTTTCTGTCATAGGCCTTAGTATTCATTACGAACTTCAAATACCAAATTTGAAAGAATGCCGGCGAATAATGTATCTAAAATCATAAAAATAAAATATCGAATACCGGGAGGTACCGATGTATGGGGGCTATGCCAAAAGTCCTGCAGACATAATATACATTTGAGTAAAATTTTATCAATCTACTTTAATTCGTTCGGAAGCTAGAGTGATTTCTACAGACGGACAGACGGACGGACATTGCTAAATCGAGCTAAAATCTTATGCTGATCAAGAATATATATACTTTGTGGGGTCTAAAGTGTATATTTCGAGGTGTTACAAACGGATTGACAAACTTAATATACCCCGCATACTATGGTGGAGGGTATAAAAATAATAATAAAAATTAACGATTTTTATTTCCAAAACCAGCAATTAATTCGTTTTTGATATATAGTTAGTGTAGTTCTTATTCAGCAAATGATAGAGCCGATCGAAATATTAAAAAAAACGTTGCAACGACGTGCCTGGTTTGGACTATATTGGTTATTTCCTTCACTTCATATGGGGTATGTGATCATTTTTTTTTAGTCGAACGTGAAGTTCCATTTTCATATTTTATCTAATACGTATAAAAGTTGGTATGGGCAAAATTACAAGAAAATCCAGCATTTATAACCAATTGTATGCGTAATCATAAATTCTCAGGTTAAGAGAAATATGGCAAGTTGAAAAAAATCGCTGACTTGTTTCGCAAGTTATGGCAGATAAAAGTATTGACAATTGTTACCCTTTGTGGGTGAGGTACCAGAAGGGGTTCGAAGATCTAGTGTTAGAAAAATGTTCGTATGTGTGAAATTTAAAGAGAGTTAGATGCTTATTTTACTTTCTTTGAGCGTTTTTTTTTTAACCTTGGGCCCTATGTGCGGGAGGTATCAGAAGAAATGGTCCCATCTCTACCATCCTTACAACACATCTTGTGTTGATAAGTCTGAACGGAATCGGATTGTATTTCCGCATTTTATGAGCTTCATGGTTATTCAAAATTTTGAACCTTTGTGGGGGAGGTGCGAAAAACAGTGGACCGAGATACCTCATCTTCACACCCTATCTTGTGTTAGTAAAAGTAATAAGAAATGTGAAATATGAAGAGAACCTGATGTTTATTTCGGATTTTATAAACGTTTTGGTTATTCAAAACATTGATCCTTTGTGGGGGAGGTACCTATGGAATGGTCCGATCTCTACCGTTTTTTAACGGATCTAGTTTATAGAAATATTGATATATGCCAAATCTGACTGGAATCGGATGTTAATTTCGCATTATATAATCTTCTCGGATATTCAAAATTTTTACCTTTCGTGGGGGAGGTATTTGAAAGGATGTTGAAAATTGTAAATGAGGAAAATTAAAACATTATTTTTAATTTAGAGTAATTATATGAAATTTTGTGGAAGTTGTCAAAGGGAATGGGCTAATATTTGCCATATTCACAAATGACCCAAGTTTGACAGAAATATTTCTAATGTTCGGACAAAATCGAATGCTGCCTTGAAGCATTATACTGGCCAGTTGCAAGGCAATGTCTTACGTTGTTCTTCCTCTACCGCAAAAACAACTAAAGGTTTAATTTGGTCTTTCAACTCTAAAAGCCAGATGTTACACTCGTCACGACTAACCCCATTTTGGTTTTGAGGATATTTGAGTGAAGAGATACTTTTCTCTCACAGAAGCGTGTAGTTGGACTAGTTGCATGTACTGTACGTGGCCTCAGTATGAATATCACAGGAACCTAGAGAGAGTATCTCATATGCTTCGGTGACCGGTCCCGTTTTTTACGAATCAAAAACTGGTAGTAGTTTCGTCTACAAACTCTGACCGGAGACTCTTTTTGTGCCGCTGGTGTCAACAGCCACTAGATCGGTTGATCTTGCCTGTTTATGGAGAGGCAAGATAGTCTTCAACCCCTTATCAAGAGGAAAGTTAAACCCATATTTCTGATCTTCGAATTGGTACCTGCGAAATATACCTAGAACTCTATGGAGTGCTCCCATTCTCTAAGAAAACTCTGGGTAAATCTAAAAAGGCGCTGATCGACGCGACCCCATGCTATGGTGCATCATGGCTTAAGCCGTTAAGGCGAGAATCATGTAAAACTCCCTCTACTGAATTACTTCCTGATATTCGATATTTTGAAGGTTTTTGGCCCCGATTTGAAACCATGTCAGCTTTAATTTGATATTTTGGTTCTTAGAGGGTTAATTACTCCTCTTACAAAATAATATTCAACTTTCAAATTTTAGTAACTTTGAGGTTTGGTCAAATCAAGTTTTTCCATGATGGAGGGTATAAAAATTTCGGACCAGTTGAACATATTGTATGTCCTATGGAGGGTATATATGGTTGGTCAGCGTAAATTCGTATTCGATTTGTCTGCCAGTCCTCTTAAACTTTCCACAGAGCCAAACATCCGGTATTTTGATGATTTCAGGGACATTTTCAATGTTTTCAAATATTTTCCATAAAACGGTACCTCCAGATATTCGATATTTTTAACGATTTTAGTAAGATTTTTGAGTAAAATTCCCCCAATATTTGGAAGATTTTATTTTTAAGATTTTCTTCAGATTTTTCGAAGAAATTGCTTAAAATTAAATATTTGAAATTCGTACAGGGCACCGATGACTTTGCAAGAGAATTGTCTATAAAAGTCTAGGTTTGTGTATAACACAACAAATCACACATTTAGGGACCTCAAATCGAAATCGCATTTATTCAAATTTATTACATAAAAAATGTTTTGGGATAATAGAAAAAAATAAACGATAAACCGAAATGTCGATTTTTTTTATTGAAGTCAAAAGTAACTAGTCAGAAAGGTGTGGGACATCCACTCCTTTTTGGGCTGATATTAACCATTTGGAGTCCACCGAACCTGAAATCGGATAAACATATATGGAAGCTATATACAAATACCGATCTTGATAAAATTTGGCAGAGGGTTTTCTGAACTGTGTTTGATATCTTTTCCCGAATAATGTCGTTATGGTTGAGTGTGCCATGGGAGCTTTATTCAAATCTAATCCGATTATCTCCAATTTCACGGACTTGCATAAATCGAGTACGAATGTGATTCTATTCAGATCATCAAAAGGAACTATGGGTCTATCTTGTTTCCTTCTCCATGTTACAAACAAACGCACCAAGACATAATACCCTGACCAGAGTGTGGTGTAGGGTATAAAAAGGCTATACGTAGATTTTTTCTCTTTACTATGTATCTCTAGTATACACCTATTGGAAAATCGGCCAATTTTTGATTATTGTGACTTAAGTCATTTTGTCAAAAATCGATTCTCTCCTCCTACAATCACTGTGTGCCCGCCAACTATGATTACTCAATAGTAAAGTAAAGAATTTTCAGTGTCAAAGTGTTGAAGTGAGATATTGAAGTGTTCTGATCTGGATAAAAGAGAGAGTGTGTGTATATGTGTCTGCAAGTGTGTGTGGGTGTATATCAATAGAGATTGGGTGACAAAGTGGTGGAGCTGACAAGTGTTTGCAGTTGAGATAAGTTTGGGTTTCGTATTTGTGTGTGTATTAAGTCATGTGTCATTGTGGAGGAGAAGGGTTTTTTGTGCGCGCTTCAAAGTGACATTACATTGTATGCAGTTGTGTAAGCAGTGTCAAGTGGGTGACTATAAAACTGGATTGCGTTTCGTTGGTTATTTCACAAAAAAAGAAGAAACAATACTTCTGTCAGTATAAAATACAAAAGGACTAGAAAAGGTTGTAGACAGTCATCAATTTTTTGAGGAGGGTGGGGATTGGGGTGCTTAAAAAGAATATGTGTGTTTATCTTTAAACGGAGGTTGTCATCTGTTCCACATAGGTCATTGGTCTCGACAGCGATTGTGAACGTTTCAATTTACACTTGGGCATTGTGGATGCCGCAGAGTGGAGGCCTGCGGAGGGCTCTTTAAAGGGTTTGTTGCTACTAAGTAAATTCGAATTACCGGAACTTTGGACTAATTGTTTGAGATTGTGACAGGAACAATTGTGGTTGGTAGATTGCTGTTGCGGCTGTTGTTGCAGATGAGATGCCGGCATTAGGGCTGGCTGATGATGACGTGGCACATAGATATATTCACGGGAGGGTTGCACCGATTTACATTTACACTGCTGCGACATGGTTGAGAGGCCTTCGGGCACACTTTGGCTCTTACAGCTTTGGAAATAGCTCGAGGGACTGCAGGTGCAGAGCAGCGGTTGGGCCGAGTCCATTCTGCAGGGGAAAGGTGGAAATTGAGTAAAATTTATGAATTTTAAATAATTTTGAAAATTTACCTCAAATCCCTATGGGACCACTGAACATTGGCCTGGCACTGCAGCTGGAACTGATTGGCACCACAACAATTGGCATTTTGAATAAAGGATAGGCTGCGCCTCAAATAACTCCCAGTTCCATTGTCATAGACATAGGGATAACGATGATGATCATCCAACTCTGCCACACCTCCAGCTCCGCCCATGTGATGATGCTGCAATTGATTGGATGGCAAGCCTCCCAAAGCTCCTCCCCCTCCACCGCAATGTCTCCTCTGCTGCAGCGGGGTGTGGTAGTTGCAAATATTTCTCATGGGCCCACACAGACACGAAGCACTCTCTCCCAACTGATTTAGACTTATACAGCTACGATTCAATAGATCTGGGGCCGGATAATCACAGCCATTGCTTTTCGGATAGTCCACCGTAAAGGCAGGCTGATATTTGTTGCGCACATACTGGGTGGACATGGAGCGCATGCGCGGCGCTGGAACCACACTGCCATTCTCCTGGGAACGTTGTGAGGGATTCTGATGACTATAGGACGAGTAGCCAATGAAGAAAATAATGATGGCGGCAATGGCTGCTGCTGCGGAACAAATGTAATAACCCGCCCGCCCATATTTCGGCGAATAATCGTTGAGGAAAATTGTCAGCGGAACACTTATCAGCACGGGAATGGCCTCAATGCCACGGATAAATGACCAGGTTTTGGAAAATTTCAATTTGACCTTCTCCAGCACCAACATTTTCAGGGAGAAACGAAAGCCACCAAAGCCCACGCCATATATGCCCGACAGGATGCAAAGGCTTTTGTAGCCCATCATAAAGGACATGAAGAGTATGGACAAGGCGACGGCGGACAGGAAGACCTGGGGAGGGAAACAAATAAATATTTAGTTAGGCTTTCAGAAGCCGAAATTCGAGAAAAATTAAGTGGAGTTCTAAATCTGCTGGCTTCCGCTGCGCTCACCTGTGATATAATCGGTGTGGATATGACAAAATTCTGCACCACAAACGGCCTTCGTATCAGGACCCCGGCCAAGACCACCCCCAAAGTTGTGGACATGCCCAACATGGTTTGAAGCAGGACCAGCTCCTGGACGTCTGAGCCTTCCTTGGCGGCATTAAGAGACTAAACAAAAAATGAGATTATTTTCATCCACAAAAAAGGCCTCTTCCCCCTTCCTCCCTAAACTTACCATAGTAAACATTGGCGTATAAATACCCAAGGCAGCCACCGCCGAGGTTAGTAGTAAAATTTTCACAGTACCCGATTTAAGATTTGATATGTCTTGTATGATTTTCTTTATGATGTTTGGTTCCGCCGGCAAATTATTCGTTTTATGGTCACGCAGCTGCAAACAGAGAATAACAATAAAATCCATAATTTCCGTAAATTAAATCATCCCCTCCCCTCCCCATACCTTTTTCCTTTGATTCTTCAAATGCTGGATGGCTCTGCGCTGGGGATGATACAATGAGGCCGGCCGGTACAGTAGACCCACAAAAAAGCTTATCGAGGTTAAGGCCGCCACAATTTGCAAACCACTGCGCCAACCCATTTTTCTATTATTCCCAGAGACGAAAAGAAAAACAAAAATCGGTTATGTTGATAAATTTCCCATTAGCCAAAAAGCAATGCCATACAACTTACCCCACCCCCTCCTTGAGTAGCACCGAAAATAAAGCTATACCCACACCCTCACCTGACATCGCCACCATTTCCACAAATAAACGTCGCTTTTTAAAATAATTACCCAACATTATGGTTGAAGTCTCCCGCACCATGGACACGCCAATGCCAAAGACAAAACCTGAAAAAGGAAGGGAATAAAGATACTCACTGTAAGTGAAAATTAATCGCCAGCGATTAGCTTACCATAGCTGAATATTACTTGGTCAACTTCTGTGGCAAATGAGGTAAATAGAATGCCAAGCGATAGTACCAGACCACCGACCACCGCCAGCAGCCGTGTTGATTTACGTCGACACAACGTTTCCACAAATGGCGCAACCAGCATGGATATGGACCAACTTAAAGCTCCAAGCCATTCTAGAAGAGGGATGACAAAAAATATATGCTTTAATAGTTTTATAGTTAATACTTCTAAGAAGGAGGACTTCAGAAGTTGGCTGTGTGGGCCTTCAGAAAAAGTTCTGCTAGGTATAAAAGGCTTTCAAGAGCTCTTCTATGGACATAAACACTTTTTATGAGCTCTTCGATATTCTTGTATTGATTTAAAATATTTAACACGGCCTTTAACAATTTAAGAGCTTAGAGGCCTAACCTACAGATAACCTGTAAGAAAGGGTCAATAGTCAGGCGGGGTCGACTATATGATACCCTAAACCAGTATATGTATTTAGTAGAGCTTCCGTAATAATAAAAGTTTATATTGGTAATTTGTGGGAAATAGACCAAACCAACTACGAACCTTACTTTAATGCGTAGCATGGCTTCAGAGTAGTCACAATTTGGGAACTATATCCAACTCTGAATCGATTTTCAACAAATTTGACGGAGGCTCCTGAATCTCTAGTAGCAAAAAGCATTGCTGTATGACTTCGATAAGAATTATATTTAAAAGTATTTATTTGAACTTTAGTGAAATTCGAACCGAGATTCACCAAATGGAAAAATTCGATCCAATTTAAAAAAATCTATACAATTTGGGCTGATTGCCAAATTTTATCGAGATCGGTTCAGATTTTTATACATCTTTGATATACACATTTTTAACCGATTATTCATAATTGCATATATGGTGGACAATAACCGAAAAATCGGTTAAGAAAGTTTATATCAAAGATATAAAAAAATCTGAACCGATCTCGATAAAATTTGGCAGAGGTATTTTCGAGCTGATGTCCGGTATCACATATAATTTTTATGGAGTACACATTACGTATGTTAGGGACTTTAACACCAAATCGCATGAAACAGATATATATGAGAGCTATAGCTATATCTGAACTGATTTTAACCAAATTTAAAATACTTGATTCTAGGCTGAATTCCGTTGGAAGTGCCAAAATGCTGTCCATTTGAGCTGATATTAGTCATTTGGGGCACAAAAAAAATGAAACCGGTCAATATAAGTATAGGAGCTATATCCAAATCTGAACAGATCTTGACAAAATTTGAAACACTTATTTCAGAGCAGATACAGTTCTAGTTCTGCAAAGTACGTATGTGAGAGACTTAAAATCCCAAATCGCATGAAACATATATGTGGGAGCTGTAGCTATATCTGAACCGATTTTCACCAAATTTGATGTACTTTCTAGATTTTGGTCGGATGTGTGAAAATTCAGTCTATTTGAGCTGATATTAGCCATTTGGTGCACAATTAACCCGAAATTGGTTGAAAATATATATGGGAGCTAAATCTAAATTTGAACCGATTCTCACCAATTTCAAGGACGAACCCTATGTCCTTGGGCCATACAAATATTGTTTTGAAAATTTAATTTCAATCGGATTATAAATGCAACCTGCATTGGGTTCACAAAAATATATGGGCAGACGGACGAACATGCATAAAGAAACTATGGATCTATCTCGTTTCCATTTGCCTGTTACAAACAAATTCACAAAGAAATAATACCCTGACCATCTTGAGGTGTAGGGTATAAAAAGAGCTTAAACAGATCCCCTTTTACGAAAACAGTTTCAATAAAACTTTTATCCAGGGATAAGTTTCTCTACCACGAGAGGATAGTCAAAAGCTAAAACAATTGCTTTATCGAGAGGAAAGCTTTAACATCGATTCAATTAATAGAAGAACTTTTGAAGATCTTTAGAAGATAGCAGGCCTTAAAGAGTTCTACCATTAATCTTCTATGGTCATAAGACCCTTCGAGGGCATTGTAAAACTAAAAATTGCAGCTCGTCCATGAGGAGGAGTGCTCTCCTACTTTACACGAAAAGCTTTAACAGTTCTTCTATGGAATCGCTTTAATAGCGATTCTATTATTTCTATGGATAAAAAACCTGCCTATCGGTGGGGAGCTTTAATATCGATTTTATTGACAGAAGAACTTTAAAAGATACCAGACTCATCTTATATTATACCAATTTTTGCAGCGTGCTTCGTTAGCTGTTACATTACATGAAAAGCTTTTACATTTCTTCTATTTTTTTAAATATCTTTTAATGATGGAAAACGTTTTAAAGCTCTTCAAGGCTTTTTTAGGCAGAGAATATCTTTAAATGTTGGTGTTTTGAAAAAAGTCCTTAAATAGCTTTTTCTTGGATAGAAAACTTTAAAAGCTCTTCAAATGGCAGAATACCACTCATCAAGCGTTACGACGGTTTTAAAAGCTCTTCAATAAATATAATACTGTTGAAAGCTCATTTACGAATGAACGACCTTTTAAGGCTTTTCTGTGAATGATAGTTTATAGGTCTCTTCCAGGGACAAACTAATTTAGAAACTCTTTTGAAAAAACCCTTAGAATCTCTTCTACTGTTAAAAGGCCATAAGAAGCTTTTCTACAGACATAAAAAGCTCATTTATAAATAGCCGACTTTTAAACAACTACTACGAATGGCAGACTTATTCAAAGTTCATTCATAGAGAAAATACTTCAGAAGATCTCTGATGAACCCTTAAAAAATCCTGTATGGATAAATGGTTTTAAGAAGATATTCTGTATATAAAATACCTTCACAGGCCCTTCAATGGGTAGAGACAAGGTGTCAAACCATTTTTATAGAGAGAGAATCTTCAGAAATCCTTCTACAGACAAATTATCATTTAAACATTTCAATGGATACCAGTCCATTTAAAAGCTCTGATATGTATAGAGTACCTATAAATACTCATCTATATATTTCTTCTATGCACCGAACCTTTCGAAAACCCTTTCTAGGGATAGAGGACTTTAAGAAGCTTCTCTTTGGACGGAAAGCTCTCAGATACTTTACTTTTGATAGACGACCCTTTGAAGCTCTACCGGGGATAACAATTGTTTGGGAGCTTTAGAAAACTGATTTTCTATTCACAGAAAGGCTTCCGAAACTTTTAATGTATAGAAGACCACCATAAGCCATTCTAAGAATAAACGATCTCCGGAAACATTTTATGAATTGAGGAACTACAAATCCTTCATTGGTATAAGATGTCAAAAGATCTTCTGTAAATATGTAGATGGAAAAACTTCATAACAGCCTTTGAATACTTTTCATGTATAGAAGACCATCAGAAGCTCTACTAAGGATAAAAGATCTTTGGAAGCTTTTCATAAATCGGGGAACTTCAGACTACAGAAGCACTACTGTAAAAATACGACTTCCTTTTCTTTGGATAGAAGAACTTCATAATAGCTTTTCTGCGACATAAGTTCTACCATTTAAACATTTTCAGTCAGAGACAAGCTTCAAAAGCTTTTCTTACACAATTATATTTAAATATTTATTTTGGGAATGGAAGCCATCCAAAAGCTCTTGAATGGACAAAAGATCTTCGCAATGACTTTTGTGAATACAAAAGCCTCTTTAGCAAATCTTCTATGGCCAGAAGAGCTTTAAAAATTCTTCTAACGATGTATGAATTTCAAAAGCTCATTTATAAAAATAAATATTGAAAAATCTCTTCTATGAGTAGAAGTCATTAAAAAACTTTTAAATGGATAGACCTATGCCTTCAAAAGTTCTTCTGTGCATAGAAGACCTTTTAATACTATTTTGAGAACAAGCCGATAAAAGCTCTTCTACATATAGCTTATTAAAGATCTTTGTTCGACAGATTTTCTATACACGCACTAGAAAGCTCTTATATAGTAACAAGGTCTTCAAAAACTCTGCTATGCATAGAAGACCATCAAGTGTTCCCCTGTGAGAATAATATCGAATCATTCTAGGAATAATATCTAAAAAATGTCTAATTTTAATAAAAGGTTCTTAAAACCATTTCTAAGCACAAATGAGCTTTAAAAGCTTTTCTATGGATAGAAGACATTCCAAATGATCTTCAAATTGTTCTTTGTAAATAGGAGATCTTTAGAAGCTTTTGTATGAGTTCTGCTAGGAATAAAACGCCTCGTAAGTTAATAGAGGCTCCTTAAAGCCTTTCTATGCATAGAATAGCTTCAAAAGCTCGTCTACGTATACCTCGTCTACAATACCGTTACAATCTCATATATGTAAATATCCAATTTCTAAAAGCTCCTGTAAGATCAATAATAGCTTCTGTTTTTGCCAATACATTTTTAAGCTGTTGTATGAATAGCATTTACTCTGAAAGGAACGTTTTGAAAAGTTTTGTTATGTGTTAATATGAGGAAAATCGCGTCAAAAGCTCTGAGCGGCATACTTTCAGGAGTTGTTCTAGGGATACACCGTTTTTAACAACTCTATGCTTAGTACAGCTTAAAAGAGCTTTCTTATACATATGGGAATTAAAAAGGCTCCTCAATGCATCTTTTTTGCATGGACTGTTAAAAGCTCTTCTGTTCAAAGAAGGACTTTAAAAGCTCACAAAGACAGTTTAGATATACCCTCAAAAGCTTTTCCATACATAAAGGAACTTTAAGAGCTTTCGTGTTAATAGAATGTATTTTAAGGCTCTTCTTTATAAAAGTCGGGTTAAAGTTCTTTTGTAGCCAAAAAAGACCTTACGATGACATGAAGATCTTGAATTGGTCTTCTTTGGCTAAGGCCTTGTACAGCTTTTAATAGAAAAAAATTTAATAGAAAACTTACCATTCCCACTGGCATTTCGTATGTGATGCACGGCATAGAACAAAGTCAAGCCATAGGATAATTGCAGGCCCGTCGTCAGGATATGTATCAAAAAGGACATGCCACAGATGATCCAACCCCAACCACCGTCCGGATAGAAATGTTGACGTATGCCAGTGGTGTCCACTCCCGTACGCCTTAAAGCTGGTATATTACGATGTAGTAGATAAAATTCCTGATCTCGGAGACCGGGAAAACCTGAATCTTGATCTTCAAATTGATGGACACAGCTGTCGGGAGCTGGAGGGAATAATTTCATCACATAAATAAAAAGCTTCTGAAAAATATTTAGTTACACTCACCATAATACATGCTGTGACTACATCCCCGATTGGCATTGGCTGCAGCAGCTGCTGCCGACGATGAGCCGGCATGCATGCCAACATGATGATGCGTTGTTGGTGGCGCCAGTGTTTCCCTGGGCGCCCTAGATGCAACCTGTTGATGATACAATTTGCCACACATGCAGGAGGGTGTCTGCATTTTATGGTCTATATTATAGGAACTACAACATGTAGAGTATTGTTGTTGTTGTTGCTGCTGCTGGAGCTGCTGATGACTGGGATGCAGATGTTGTTGATGCGGATGCGAATGTGTGTGATACGGCTGGGGATGTAGTGATGGCGGAGGCTGCTGCTGTTGTAGCTGTTGCTGTTTGATATGCCGTCTACATGCCGAACCATAGTTTGAGCCCGGAACATGTGTGGAACCACCCGCAGCATAATTATCATAAAGGTCTAATCCTGACAATCCTGTTATTGAGCGATGATGATGCGGCCTTAAAACTGGTGGTGGCGGTGGTGATGGTGTCGCTGTACTGGCAATGGTTGTGGCATTGGTATTAACTGATGCGGCGGTGGCAGTGGCGGCTGTGGTATTGGTGGCTTTGGAATACGATTGATTGCCAATGATGGCAGATTGTGGGGGATTTTGAATGGCGCCCGACGTAACGTTGACACCACCTGTCGTTGAGGATTTGAGGGCTGGTTTGGGCAACATTGTGGCCGGGATATTACCTTCAGGTCGGAGTGCATTTAAATTGTTGTGGCCTCTCATTTCGTTGTTTTTGTTGTTGCTGATATTAGTGTTGTTGTTGTTGTTATTATTATTGTTGTTGTGATTTACATTTACATTGGCATTTTGCTGTTGCATTGCTAGGAATTGGGCCGTGGTGTTGGTATACTCCTTGAGACTTTGTGTGGAACCTTGTTGCTGGTGGGCTAGACGAGGACACGATACCCACCAGACCACCGGCTGATCATTGAAGCGACAATTTTCGCAGAGGACCCGTTGCGTCTGGACCGCTGCTGCCGTGGCAATGGACACCGTCTGAATGTGATCTGTGGCGGCGTTCGGCTTTGCCTTCTTCGTTGCCGGCAAATCGGGATTGGCAAATTTCTTGGGTGGCAGTAGAGGTGGAATATCTGTTACTGCTTCGGATGAGGCTGCGGCTGGAGGATGTTCACAACTGAGATTATACCTTCGTCACACTGCACATTTGTTGCACAGGATGAGCCGTTTATTGGTCAATTGTCGCCGATGATTTCGGTCGAATGTCGATGATCTTCTTAGTTCCTGTTCCGAGCTGGTGCGTAGAGTATGGCTATCGCCACCACAAAGCAGTGACTGGTGATGCAGCTGCTGTTGCTGCTGATGCTCTTGTGAACTGTGGCCGTCGTTGCCGCACAACGCCAATGGTTTCCTAATTGCACTATAGAGGTTTCGGGGCAAGCTACGATACTGCGTCAATTGGGGGCAACTACTACTATACAGGGATGAGGGTGAGTTTGTCGTTGTATTGTCCGCTGGCTGGTCACCACTGTCACCAGTGGCCATTATCTCATGGCCCAAATGACAATTGTGAAGATTGCCGCCGCAGTTGTGCGTGGTTGTTGTTGCAGTTGTTGTTGCACTCGGTTGTAAATTGTTGTCAGCACCACATTTATATTGACATGTGGCATAAAATTTCATTGTTTATTCGAACGATTGCAACTGCAAGGAGTATGGATGGATGGCGATGGCGATGGTGGTGGTGGTCCAGGAGAAGTAGTCCAAACCTTTTTTTAATGGAAACGGTGTTGGTTGGCTGGTCGTTTGGCAAAAACGGAAATCCAAAGTGTGTGCGTGTATTCCCCGCTCCCCGATCCTCCTCCTCCTCCTTCTCGTCGTCGTCGTCTCCCTCGCAACGTTGATGTTGATTGGAAGTGCTTACCACCACACAGTACAGCAACAGCAGCAGTAGTGGGCAGGATGTTTGCATACAGAACTTTGCCGGCAACGAAAACGACTTTCATCATTTATCGCAGCACTCAGCCATAATGTAATAGTTTCTAGAACGAAAAATTAAAAATTAATTACATTTTAATTTGCTGTGAATGGGGTTTTTGGGGGGTTTTTCGCAACGACAGCGAACACCAACAGTATCATCATGTTTTGAGGAGAAGCAACAGGAACAGACACACCACACCAAACACATTCAGACATCAGAGCAAAACGGAAATCATATGTCTGGCTGGGATTTTCTTAAACACTTTTACGACGAACGAAATTCATTTCAAAGTGGAAACACACATTTCAATTTTTTGACACTTAAAGACACCCAAGTGCAGGAAAGAATTCATGAATAAATCAAGAATGTCTTGCGGGGAATGTTAGCGAACAATAATGAATTTTCTAAGAATATTTTTTAAAGACTGTTAGATCGAAATTATATTTCTAATTTTGAGTTTGAAAAAACATTTTATTTGAGAACTATTTAGAAAAATTATCAGAGGTAATGGGGTGGATTTTTCTTAATTAAAAAAATTGTTTAAAAACATTTAGACCAAGAAACGGGCTGTCCTTTAAAAGTTCTTTCTGAAGCATTATCAGAGCTGTAAAGGTGATTTAAGAAGCCATAATATTGAATTTTTTTTGAATATTTTTTAAAATATTTTGCTGGAAGACTAGAAGCGAGGTATTTTTGAACCTGTAGCAAAGAAGTATTTTTGAACCTGTATGGTATGGTATGAAACTCCTTATAAATAATCACTATAGGTCCTAAACTATAGGTCCTAAAAACCGTCAAAAGCCTAATTCATATATATTAAAAACATTTAAAGTCCTAGTTCAAGTGAATTAAGAGAATAAAACCGGGTGAGATAAAAAAAGTGCAACCAACTTCAGACTGCCGTCATTTCTAAGCCACTCGTCCGACAGCTGTTAAAATTATTCTAGTGACAGCTCATTATATTGTTTACAAGCGTACAAAAGCATTTTGGAGAGAATTTTCCAAAAAAAAAAAAAAAAAAAAAAATCAAGCGTGATTTCTTTATAATTGGCTGGAAGTTTCTATCTTGAGAGCACTCCAGCATTTAAATGTGGATAACCCTTTGTGTCTCGTGCCATCGCTCGTTACCGTGATACTGGTAGCATAGCCCAAGGAAGTGGACGGAAGAAAACAGCAACATCAGCAGAAATAGTTCGAAAAGTAAAGAAAAAGTGGCCGAAAAATGGCTCGTGGGCTTAACATATCGCAATATTCCATTCGACAAATATTGAAAAACAAGTTAAAAAGTATCAGTCGGTATTGTCGACAGATATATACCCTCAGCCTGTGTTCGATTATTATACCCTACAACACTATGTGTTGGGGGTATTATAAGTTTGATTGGGCCAGAATTTATGTAACACCTCGAAATATTGGTTTCCCATATAGGAAAGTATATATGGATCTTCCTAGCTCGCCGAGCTGAGTCGATCTAGCTATGTATGTCCGTCCGTCCGTCTGTCCGTCTGTCCGTCTGTCCGTCTGTCCATGTTAATTTGTAATCACTCTACAGGTCGCAATTATGGTCCGATCTTCACGAAATTTAAAATGGAGGTGGGGCTAGGGTCAGAATAGTACCCTATTTCTTTTGGAGATGATCGCATAATATTTAGGGGTTGAAATGGACCAAATACTGAAAAAATGTCGAATTTTGCAGTAGCTATACAGGTCGCAATTATAGACCAATCGGCGGAATTTCGCATGTAGCTAGAGTTTAGGGCGGGGAAGAAGCCTACCAATTTGGGTGGTCATCGGATAATATTTAGCGGGTAAAATATACCATGTCTTTTGTGTTGAAAAAATTCAAAATTTTTCATTAAACCGCGAATATTTTAAATCCCGGCGAAATCACGAAGCCATGACAAGGTTACTTCTGACCTTTACATTGATGTTAACATCCAACAAATCGGATATATAGCGAAATATGTGCGATATATATGTCTATCAAAGAAGATATGCTTGAAAGATCTCTTATATGTCGAGAACGGCTGAACTGATTCGACAGTTCTTATTAATTCAGAATGGCCTCTTGGCAGGAAAGAAAAAACGTCTAAAAAAGTCGCATAAAAATATCTCTCTAATGATGAAAATAATGATTTTGTAAAATTTTCTCATATTTTTTCAGTTTTGTCATATTTTTGGCATATTTTCATTTTGAATTAAACATCTGGTAATATTTCTACAGCTAACAAAACTAAGTAGTTAGGATATCAGGATATCATATACAGATCGCATTTATGGGCCGATCTTTACGAAATTTTGCATGGAGATAAGATGAGGGTCAGAATAGAAGCCTACTCTTTTTGGAGATGATCGCTATATATTTAGGGGTTGAAATGGACCAAAAAACTGCCAAATTGCCAGCAGGTCGGGGGTTACCACACATTGCAAAGGCCAAGCAGTTTCGGATGGGCATCCAAAAATATTCAATGTGTGCAATAGTTTGCCAACTTTTGTAGACTAAATACGAAAATGTCCATTCCAGCGACATCTACCAATAAATTGGAAATGAGCAAATTCGTTTAAGTTGCTATTATCCGAAAATTAGAGAACGAAACATGATGGTTTTCTTTTATTATTTGTCACAATATCTTGTGGAGTTCTTTTGAGTATCTCGCCTATATAAACTGTATGGTTTATTATAGTGTTGTAGGGTATTCAACGGTCGGTCCCATCGACTGTAGCCTTTGCTTACTTGTTTAAATATAATTTGACTAGTTTTACAATTATTCAAACGTTTGACCTCCTATGGAGCATGTTCCGAAGGAATGGGCCAATATTGTCCACTTCGTATCGCACCAAAAAATAGGATATAAATATTCCGACGTTCCTAGTATGGATTATATCGACTCACTCCTTCACTTTATATGAGATATGTAATAATTTTTGGAAAGTGTTAAAATGTGCGAGATTTAGATAGAGTCTACCAAAATATTCCATTTTTATACTCCATCTGATACAAACATATTGAGCGAAATATTCGACAAAATTACAAAAAAGGATATTTATGCCCAATTTTATGCGAAATCATAAATACCAATAAATTTCATATTCATATCAGGCTTCTTATTGAGGGAAATATTTGAGAATAGCAAATAGTAAAGTATTGCTTAATTGTTTCGAAAGTTATTACAGATATAATTATTGAAAATTGTGACCCCAGAAGGGGTTGGCAGATATATATCAACTTCACAACAGATCTTGTGTTAGCAAAAATATTTGTGTGTGAAATTTGAAGAGAGTTGGATATTTATTTCGCTTTATTTGAGTGTTTTGATTTTCAAAATCTTGAAACCTATGTATTGGGGAGAAGAAATGGTTCAATCTATACCACCTTTATAACAGATCATGTGTTGATAGAAACATTGATATGTGCCAAGTCTAAATGGAATCTGATGTTAATTTGGCGTTTTATGAGCTTCATGGGTATTCAAAATTTCGACACATTGTGGGGGAGGTACCAGAAGGAGTGGTCCGATACATCTCATGTTAATACCAGATCTTGGGTCTATAAAAATATTGAAATGTGTGAAATTTGAAGACGTTCGGATCCTTACATCACATTATTTAAGAGTTATAATTATTCAAAATGTTGACCCTTTGTGGGGGAGGTACTTGATGGAGTGGACCGATACTGTCCATTTTCGCACCCGACCTAGCACTGACACAAATATTAGGATTTGCAAGTTAGAGCAAAATCGGCTAATCTATTCTCTTTCTGTACAAAAAATATAATGTTGACCTTTTGTGGGGGAGTGGACCGATGCATTGCCTCTTAGAAGTGGACCGATGCATTGCCTCTTAACACCAGACCTTGTGTTAATAAAAATATTGGGATATGTGAAATTTGAAGACAATCGGACTCTTACATCACATTTTATAAGAGTTGTAATTATTCAAAATTTTGACCCTTTGTGGAGGAGGTCCCTGATGGAGTGGACCGATATTGTCCATTTTCGCACATGATTTAGCACTGATGAAAATATGAGGATTTCCAAAGTTCGAGCAAAATCGGATTATCGTTTCTCTTTTTGTGCAAAAAATATTTTTTTAAAATTTCGACCTTTTGTGGGGGAGGTGCCAGAAGGAGTGGACCGATACATTCCGTTTTTGCACCAGACCTTGGACTAATAAAATTATTGGGATGTATGAAATTTGAAGACAATTGGACTCTTAAATCACATTTTATAAGAGTTGTAATTATTCAAAATGTTGACCCTTTGTGGGGGAGATACTTGATGGAGTTGACCGATATTGAAAGATGTTTTCGCACCAAAACTAGAACTGACGCAAATATTAGGATTTGCAAAGTTGAAGCAAAATCGGATTATCCTTTCTTTTTCTGTCCAAGAAATATATTTTTTGATAATTTCGAACTTTTGTGGGGGAGGTAACAGAAGGAGTGGACCGATATTGCCCATCTCCGAACTCGATCTAAGTTTGACAAAAATATTACGATGTACCAAATTTGGACCAAATCGGATACTCCCTTCGAGAGTTATCGTGCGCACCAGCCAGACAGACAGACGGACGGACGGACATCGCTAGATCGACTCCAAATGTTCTGAAATGGATTTGGTCCAAAGAGACCTAGGGTCTAAAACCGTTATTTCGACTAGGCACGTTTTGACAGTATCAAATGATATATACCCTCTGTAGCCATATGGCTGAGGGTATAAAAATCCACAATAATCTACTATTTTTCTTGTTCAGAGTCCATGAAAAATATTCCTCAAAAATCTACGCTCAGAAAGGCCTTGAAACCTATTAATCGCTTGATTATTCATGAAGTCCGTGCAGAAATATTTTTTTAAAAAAAAATCTCCGTTGATAGTTCTGGGAAAATTTTCCATCAAAACCAGGTTTGTATCTCCACAAACCCATTCAAAAATATTCCCAAAAAATCTACATTAAAAGATCCCATTTTTGACTCGCTTGAGGGTTAATATTTTTGAACAAAGTTTTAGGTTTTGTGACGAATCCTGATAAGGCCCATTCTAGGAGTTCGACACCATATCCCTT